GCCATGTTTCACGTCCTCTGACAGGGAAAGCAGCTTGCAGGAGAAATAAATAACCCAGCACTGCACTCTAGGGCTGCGACTCGCCTGGAGCCTCAGCAGCTTGTGTGGGAGCGTTTGGGTGCTGGGCTGGGTTTGGCCTTACTGGGACGTGCTGCACCTCGAATGTGTGAGCTGTGAGAGTGGTTTGTTGCTTGGAAACGTGTCTGGTTTCTCTAAGAAATAGTGGCTGTTCCTTAAAATAAGTTTTTGTTGTTGACTTTTTTTTCCTTTCCCTGAGAGGGATGAATTCGAGCCTCTGCTTGACCAAAGGGTTGGGATGGGGAATCTCTACTACATGACAGATAAACCTCTGGTTGTCATTTGGATGCTGGAAGGTCTCTGCTCTCCTCTTCTCCTCCTCCACAGAAAGCTAACGCTGTGGCTGTGTCCCAGTCCAGATGCAGTCCTGACTCCAGCTTCAGGCTGCTGTCATTGCAGTCAGCATCCCTGTAGGACAATGGTAACATTTGGTTATATATCATGCAATTGTGCACCGCTTAAATACGATTTAAGAGCATTTGTTTTTAGTCACTTCAGCACGTGGATGCGTGTGCAAGGAAGATAAGTGCCCTGGATGTGTGTCCAGGCTATAATCAGCAGAGACACGGTCGCTCCTGGGGCACAATCCACCTCACCCTACAACTGAGGTACAGCAGAGAACCTGAGTCAACTCCTGGGACGAGGCAGCTCTCATCAACCCTAAGGGCTGTTGAGTCATTTCCCTGCCATGAGGAAACCTTAGCATGGCACAAAGAGTCCCAAGCCTTCCCCAGATCACCCATCCTGGGTGATGGATGCTGATGCTCTGGAATCCACAAGCTGCCCCAGCACTGCAGCCCCAGCCTGGCCAGGGATGTCTTGCAGAGCTCTCCCACACCCGAGGCACTTGCCACACCACATCCTACCCTTATTTCACGGTGCTAATTACTTTCTCATGTGGGAGGACTTGGAGAACGTGCTGGAGTTGTTCATCCAGCCTCTGCCATTTCCTTTGGTATTTATAAACACGACGAGGATGTATTTGTGATGCAAGGGCCCCCTGATGCAAGTTGGTGTGGCAGCTTTTCTACAAATGAGTAATGCTTTCTTCCATACAAAGCCCAGAGGTGGAGAAGGAGCAAAAGGGCTGCAAGGAGGGCAGGAGTGAGGGCTCTTCAGGTGATAGATGTATACAGAGAGTGTGGAGAGATGTCTCGCTCACGTTTGGCACAGAGGTTATGTGGAACGCATGAGGCTCTTCTGGGCCACAGTGCCCATGTTGTCATGGCTCACTGTGAGGCTTTGGCTGCTGGGAGCTGCTGGGCACTCCAGATTCACACCCAGCGATTATCTGGTTGGGAAGGAGCTTTATGTTCTGAGGAAATAATTGCCGTGCTGCTTTTTATTAGCAGAAGCATTGTTACGGGACCTCAAAGCATGGAGCTGCCATGTTTTCTTGAGTGTTAACATCTTTTTTTTTTTTGTCATGAGGAAGTTGAGACGACTGAAATACAGATACAGAGGTACACACGGTGGCAGCTTCTCCTTTAGGCACCTTATCTCTGGCATTCCCTGGTGCAGTGGATGATGCGGCTCCCCGGGAAGCTGAGCAAGCTCTAGGTGTAACCTGAGTCTGTTTGTCCCTACAGACAGCAGGACTGATCCCAATGCCGACGAGTTTCCTTGGCAGTGCCCTCCGGGGCACCTTCTTCCTCATCTTTGGTCTCTGGTGGTCGGTGCGATACCCCCTGAAGTATCTCAGAAGGAAAACAAATGCTGAGAACCAGCCAAGCTCTGGGCTCCGGCGCGTGGAAGTCTTTGAAGGGGCAGTCAAAGCTTTCTTTGCCCTGGCAGGTAAGGGCTCCCATCACCTAATCCCAGCTCATTGAGGGCTGTCATGGTGGGACACAGTTGTTGCTGTGTGGGAGAACTTGGGGACAAGCTAGTGGCATGGTCTGCTACCATCCCTATCAATATTGCTGGGCAGATATCACTATCAATTCCCCATCTCGAAGAAACATTTCCAAGTTTGCCCTTTCCTCCATGTAAAAGGAAAACGTGACCTTTCTGCCCTCTTCCTAGGGATCCTGGTGGAGCAGTTTGTCCCCTCTGGTCCCCACCTGATGCTGTACAGCCCCAAGACGCACAGCTGGACAGACCTCACGCACTGGCACTACACCACCATGTACCTCTTCTTCCTCCTCTCTGGCATCGTGGATGTGGTCTCACACTCACCACTCAAACTGCCATTGGGTTTAGATCGGCTCTCGCTGTCCGTGGCTCTGTTCATGGAAGGTGAATGGGGGAGAGCTGGGGGAGGGCTGGGGTGTCACCAGCACGCAGCAACCAAAAACCCCCAGGCTGTATTTTGGTGTCATATGCTCCATGTGCACAAGGGTTTGGATTTCTCCTGGTGATGAGCAGCTTGCTCTCTCCAGCATCACAAAAATGCACTGACCCTTCTAACACAAAGGGACAAACCCTGATGCAAAGCTCTCTGATACCTTAAGAACTGCAGGTGCCCATTGCTGGGTTCCTTCTGGCCAGCACACAGGGCTGCCCATGGCTCTAGCAGTGCCCCTAAGCTATGGCTTGGAGGCCCCCAAAGCTGGGAGCTGCACAGTCCCTGCAGAACAAGGTGATAGCAGTTGGCTGTTTGCTGCTTGACCCTTCCCATCAGGCAGATCTTAGCAAGACCTACAGCATGGCTGTAATATTCAGATATATATATATTTTAATATTTAAAAGCCAGAAACAAATCCCAGAGCATCCTTTCCTAATGCAGTGTTAATTTTTGCCAGGTTTGCTCTTCTGCTGCCATAACTATGGTGATGCTGCACTGGACCAGCACCTCCACTCCCTGTTGGCCTTCGCTATTTTTGCTGGAGCCCTCTGTGTCCTCCTGGAGGTGTTTCTCCGAGATCACATCATCCTGGAGTTGCTCAGGACCAGCACATTCCTTCTGCAGGGCTCCTGGCTCTGGCAGGTCAGTGGGAACCCAGCGCTCCCCTCCAAGCTGTGGGCTTTGCCCCAGGAAGGTGCAGGGATGCTGTGATCATAAGGGTGGGAAACCACACTCATGATTTTCCGTTCTTATTATGGGTTAAGTTCCAAGCAATGTTTGGATCCCTTTCCCCAAGATGAGCGCCCCATGTCCCTGCCAGTTTGGCTGATGAGAGCACTGAGGCAGTGTGCTGGGTGTTACTGGGATTATTTTGCCTCTATCTCATGGCAAGCTGCAGCAGCAAAGGGATCAAAACAGGAGGAAAAGCAGTGAACAATCATAGAATGGCTCAGGCTGGAAGGGGACCTTTAAAAATCATCTAAATACACTAAAGCCTGATGCTTCTGCCTAACACCTCTGTCTGTGAGCAGATCGGCTTTGTGCTGTCCCCTCCCTGGGGAGGACCGGGCTGGAACCAGACTGACAGCAGCAATTTCTCATTCCTCACCATGTGCTTCTGCTGGCACTATGCAGGAGCCCTCATCACCCTGGCAGCCAACGCGGCCGCGTCACGCTGGTATGTGAGCACCTCCAAACCAACCCCACGTTGTGTTACGAGTTATGAAAACCGTGTGTCTGTGTGGAGCAGGGGCTGTTGCGAGGGAGGGGGAAGGCTGGGTACCACCGAGCTGCTCAGCATCCTTCCTACGGGTTGGGATGAGCAAACAGCTCTGCTGCCTGCGTCCTCCTGAGCTGTGTTCCTGTCCCTCCCCACAGCTGCAATGAGTCCTGCCAGCTGCGCTTCGGGGACATCGACGTGGAGTTGGACTGCGGTCTGTGCGTCCGCAAGAAGGGCTCTGGTGGGGCACTGCTGCCCGAGGGCGGCACCGAGGAGAAGTGAAGCCTGCAGTGGGCAGTGGCAGCTCCTCCTGCTGCTCTGGGGCTTAAAATGAACTTCTGAGTTCCGCTTGGTTAAACTGGAAGCAGCAGGAGGTTGAGCCCCAAAGCTGAGCTGATCCTGCGTGCTGCCAGCCCCCTCTGACAGCGAGGAGTTTGCTGTTTTCTCAGGACTGGTTTGCTGGCAGGCAGTGTGGCTGGTTGGGCTGTCTCTGAACCCAGCAGGAGGGATGCAAACTGCCCCCTGAAGCAGCTCCTGGTGCCTGCTGCTCGCTGTGCCCTTAGCAGAGGGGTTTTGTACAAAGCTTTGCATGCACAGAGGGAACACGGTCCCAAATAAAGTGCTATAACAAACTTTCTTATGGATCTCCTCACTATGCTTTGAGGTTGGAAGCACTGCAAGGTGATGTCTGGCTGCTGGGCTGTTTGGGAGTGAATGGAGTATTGGTTGGGGCTGCTGGAGAGCAGGGGCACAAAGCTGCAGCCCTGAGGGTTTAGATCAGAAATGAGAGGCAGTTTTGGAGCAGACAGTTGGAGCAGAAGGATGTGATTTGCCCAGGAGATGGGGCCTTGCTTTTCTCCTAGGTCTCTCACTTGGCTTGCAGCTGGACAGCAAGGAATCGCTTCCTGCCACTGAGCAGAACAAAAAGTTGCCATTAAACAGGATTAATGAGAGAAGAGAAATTTCATCGATGGTGCTACATCCCCTTCTAAGGGCTGGGTGAGATGGCTTAGCCCACACCTCCACCAGGCCTTGGGGGAGAGCCCACCCTGCCCAGGGCAGTGCCATTCCCAGCCCTGCAAGGTCTCTGCAAATGGCATTCACTGCCCCTATGGGACCAGAGGCAGGGCCACACAGTTGGCTCATTACAGACTGGCTGCCATTGATGGGAAGCTGAGTGCAGAGGTTGTAACCCCATGTACTGTACTTTGATTGAAAAGAAAAGGAAAAAATCCTCTTTCCCCTTTGATCAACCAGTGTTGCACTTTGCAATTTTTTTTCTTGTCTTGGTATCACCTGGAGTAGCAGAAATGCTGAGGCACAGCCTGAAGCAGTGATGGAGCACCTGGTGGGAAGGCAGGGCCAGCACAGGGCAGCTCAGGTGCATGCAATGTGTGATGGAAGGGCTGCAGCCAGGATCCACCCCTTCCCAGCCCTCATTCTGGGGTTGGCAGTGAATGTGAGAGCATCTTGTTGTAGATCTCTTCATACCTGAGGCCTTCTAAAGGTAAGCAGCTTTTTTTTCCTTTTGTATCTGTGTGTATGGCAGCTGTACATGAGCATATCCTCACTTGCTGTAGCCTAGGACTTTGCTATTTCACTGTTGTGGCTGTGCTCTCCATTGCATTATAACATTACAACTAAGGAATGTGGAATCGCTCTGACTGAGGATTTCACCAGTTAAAGCTCAGGTTTTAGTGGAGATGTTTCCTTTTCCTTGAAGAAATGCAAACAAGAGCAAATACTTAATGATCCTCATGCCTGCATGCTGAATGAGCTCAGCTCCATGCCCAGAGCGAATGCCTGAGGATTCCCTTGAGCTGTGCACACGACATGACCTGTCACTGAGCTGGGCAATAGCATTGCCTGGTGTTGAGATGTCACTCGTGTTCATTGAGTCAATGGCACAGAAAGAAAGAAGCAGGTTGGTGTAGCTCTGATTGCATCTGTAGAGCAGTTCCTAAGGAGCTGCAGGTGGAAAAGATTCCTTACACAGCTTTAGCCCCAGGCTGGAAGGCAACATAGCTTGGTGACTGGGTGAGGAAGTTCTGTGGGTTCTGCTGATGTAGCAGCATGGTTTGGTGCAAGGACACCCACCTCCCTGCAAAGCCCTCATGTTCTGTCCATGTTTCAGCCCTAGGGAGGCAGCAGTGATGTGGACATACTGTTCCAGGGGGGACTGTTGTCCTTATGGTTTGGGGCTCCTGGAATTACCTCTGCCCAAAGCAAAGCCTCCATTTGCATGCTTGCAAGCCATTAATGCCTAACTAAATGACAGCACTGGAGCCAGGAATGAAGGTAATGCCCACCTGTGTTGTTGCTGCTTCCTGTCTGTTAGTGTAAGACTTGGGTTAGTGGCAATGTTCTCTGTTGCACAGTTAGTCAGGGATTGAGGGAGCTCTTATGCTGGGGGAGTAGAGGCTCTCCTGCTTCCCACCTGCAGCATTTGGTTATGAATTATGAGAATTATGTCCTAGCACTGAAATTCTTGAGCCTCCAGACCCAAATGCTGCTCATGAATCATATGCTGAGTCTCAGTGGCACTTGCAGTGGAGTGGTATTATTGATATCATGTTCTGTTTTTCCCCTGAGCTATTGCTGTGTTGTGTTTGGTGCTGCTGGGCAGCTGCTGCTCCCAGTGCTGCTTTGCAGATAGGAGCAACTGCAGGTTGGGGAAGAAGTATAGTAAAGGCCAGGCATGGTGATGTGTGTGATATAGAATAAATGGTGGTGTTTGTGGGGCATCCTTTGGTATCTAACAGCAGTGCTTGCAGGTTTATGGCTGCTCAGCAAGCTGGCAAGATGTAACGTGAGTGTTGTTTCAGATAAGAGCAGTTGCCTTGTAAAGCACAGAGCCCAGATATTGTCACAGAGCAGCAGTTCCAAGTTCCAGCCTGGGTTTTAAACTTAAGCCCAGTAACAGCTGTCTGTTTGGCAGGGCAGGGTGAGCAGTGTGCTGTAATGCTGTTGTTGGGGTAGCTGTGCTGGTGGCTTCTCTGAGCAACACTGGGGGAAAAGAAATCCTTAAATGAGTGCAGCTGAGCACGTGCTGGGTAACAGTGCTTCCCCAGGGGAACCTGGACAGGTAGCTGGGAAGGTCAGTGCAGTGCTGGGGCTGTGAGTGTTGGGGAGCACCTCTGGAACTGGCAGATTATAAATAGCTAAATGCCAAAAGCTGACTTTTATTATTTACTCGTTGCTATTTAAAGGGAGTTCTAAGGCAATCAGTATTCCTCAGTGTGCTTAAACAGTCTTTTGTTTCTGTGTAGGGTCCAACCAGGACATGCTGTGTCAGCCCATGCAAGCTGCAGGCATGAGATACAGCCGTCCTCTTCCAACTGCCCAAGCATTTTACTTTATTTTTTTCTCCAGGGACATTCAAGAAAAGGGCAACTGGGCATAACAGCCTTTTAATTTCTTTTTATTTCCCCTTTCTTTCCCAGGTCAGTTGTGCAGAGGTGAATGGAGCTGTCTATTTCTCATTGCGTGCAGTGATGGAGACTGTCCTGCCCAGCAGATTGCAGTGGATACATAAATAAGAGCACAAAGCTGTTGTGCTGGCCCATTATGCTGCAGGTTCACTTGGTGTGACCTTCCCAAGGAACCCTTGCTCTCAGATGTGAGCACAGCTCTGGGAGAAGAGCCCAGAGGGAGGGCCGAACCACTCCTGTTGTCATGGAGACAGCAGGGACCAGGAGGATGCTCCAGAGAGAAAGCCCAGGTGGAACTGGCTGCCCTGCCCCTCCTGCTCTGGGATGGAGAACAAAGGGATGCTGTGGGAAAGGCGTGACAGACAACACAGGCTAAGTCACAATACAGCCCCATGAAGCTGGAAGAGAGGAATCACAAGTCTGGAACACAGGAATAGCACAGAGTTGTTCCAGTTACAGCTAGCAATTGTGGAAGATGTTAAGCATCCTGGGCTGTGCTCAACCACATCCTCAGCTCTTAACTCTGCTGGCACAGATTCTTTACCTGCTCTCACTGACAAGCTTCAGGGCAACCTCTATGGGAGATAGGGCTGCTTCCCTTAGCCCCAGTGTTTCTCCTTACCTTCAGTCCCATGCCACGCAAAGGCTGCCGTGCAAAGGCTGCCTGATGCGTCTTCCCAGCTCCTCCTTCAGCCTCCAGCCTGCTCTCAGTGAAGGATTGCTGCTGCTAACAGAATGGTCTGAATTGAGCTGCCCTGGCAGACTGCACAGAGCCCACAGGCCATAGGTTAAGTGCTCCTGTAACAAAGCACAGGCTCCTCATGGGTCACTGGTAAATACAGCAGAACTCTGGGCACTTTTAACCTCTTCCTGCAGAACCAAACCTCACATTAACGCTGAGCAGAGCTGCCCAGTTCACCTGCAGTGATGCTGTTGGCTCTTATGGGACCACTGGGGGAGGTTGAGCAGAGGCAGCCCAGGCACTGCATGGGTTAAGGATGTCCTGACTTCATGCACTGCAGCACTTACAGCTCCCCTGGGCTCCATCCTGTGCTGTGCTAAGGCTCATAGCCAGCTGATTGGCATGGGGTCCCACTGGGGCTTGAGACCAGAGAGCACAAGCAACTTCTTACAGTGAGAAATCACAGCAGAGCTACTGTGTGGGCAGGGGGAAATGGGGCTGCAATCACAATGTGCCTTGCCTGCCCACCTTCCACTGGGATCAATGCTCACCTCCAGCCACAGACATTTCTTTCAGGCTCAACTACATTCCAAAGTACCTAACTTCAGCACTGAGCACCACTTGCCCTCCATTTCCCTGCCTCACTCTTCATCATTCCTGATGCCAACAAGAAGTTATAATGTCCTACAAAAACAGGTTGTCTCCCATCTCATATGCTTTCCCTGTTTCACCCTTGCAGTGCACACGCTGAAACCTCTGCCATCTCAGTAGATGCCAAGCAATGAGTTACAACTGCTCTGGAGACACCCAGACAGGAAGAGGTTCCTGCCTGCTGACACCAACCTCAGCCTCTGCACCAACCTTGAGATCTGCAGTTTGCTCCCAGAAACATCGATGCTCAGTCCTAAACCACACTGCTGTAACAGCAAAGCAGGTTGGCAAAATAAATCTGCCCACGCTACATCCACCTACTGCTGGGCACAGAACGGTTTCCATATACATTATCCCACTGCACAACCTCAGAAGAGCAATTATTAATGAGCAGAGAGACAAAGTCATCCCACGCTTCCTCCCCTGCTCTGCGTTCCCAGCTCCCAAAGACACATCACGTGCAGCAAACACCTTTTTAGCAGAGATCTTCTAGCACATTTCTAAACTTTTTTTCCTTTTCTAAGGCTGCAGTCAAAATCCATCATAAGGAATTGATCTGGAGCACTCAGCAGTGATCACCAGAGCATGGAACTAATAGATTGGGATTCAGGTCTGATGTATTTATTTTGGGGGTGTAATGCTATAATGTGATGGAAAGCACAGCAGTAATAGTTGGGTAGCAAAGTTTTAGGCTGCAGCAAGTGAGGATAAGCCCAAGTGCAACAGCCATGGACATAGAAACAAAGGAAGAAAGCTGCTTAGCTTTGAAAGGCCTTGGGCAGGCAGGATCTCCAGTGAGATGCCCGTATCTCTACTGCCAACCCTTAAATGAGGGCTGGGAAGGGCTGGATCCTGGCTGCAGCCCTTCCATCACTTACACTGCATGCACCTGAGCTGCCCTGTGCTGGCCCTGCCATCCCACCAGGTCACCATCACTGCTTCAGGCTGTGATGACTCAGCATTGCCACTACAGGGGGACCAATAGAATTTATCAAAGGAAAAAATCTAATGCCTAAATTCAATTCTAGAATTCAATCTACAGACTCCGTAATTCATTTCTTTTTCAGTCATCCTACCTGAGGGTGCAATCCAAGAAACAGCTTTGGATTTGAGAATCGCTGCAGCATCATTCAAATGAAATTCACAGCTAAAAATCAAAACTCCTTCCCAAGTAGTTGTGACAAGACAACAGACGGCATTTTCTAGGACAGCATCTGTTCATTCCTGCAGACTGAATAATTCAGCCAGAATATGGGAGTTCCAATGGAACTCAGGAGCCCATTTTAAGGAGAAGCAGAACACGCAATCATTTCCTACTGAAAGCTGTTAGAGCTTCGTGTGTCCTCCTGCCTTCTCTCCTCTCTGTTCAGACCCATTGGGAACCACCCAGGTCAACACAAAGAAAGGCCAGGTCTGTCTCCTGGTCCCCAGAACCAGTCCTCAAACAGCAGCGACTCTTCAGTCATTTCTGTGAGACGTGGGAGAGGAAGAATTTGTGCTCGAGGTCACACTTCAAAGAGGGAAAATAGAAATGACAGACAGAAGCAGGGACAGCTGTGAGCTTCACAGCCTGTTGGTTTTAGGTGTTCTGGAACAGAGAGTTAAACCAAGCACTCAAGTTCCCCTCCTAAAAAAATCATTAACAGGCGATACAGTAAATGCTAATTACAAATATCAAACTGCTGCCATGGGCTCTTCACATCTTCAAAGTATTTCCAATCTGGCCATCAACAAGAAGTGCACAACAGAACCGTATCACACATTGAGGTTTGTCTCCCTGAATGCCCTCTTGTCTCTAACCCACCCGTGCTCCAACATGAGGATGTAACGCCAGTCAGGAGTCCCAGGCACTGCCTTAACATCATGCCCACAGAACCACAGGGTTGGAAGGGATCTCTGGACATCACCTTGTCCATCCTCCCCCTGCCAAGGCAGGTTTCCTACCCAGGAATGCATCCCATGACGCTGAGCTCTGCCAGCCACCAGCTCTGACCCACCTCACTGCTCACTTTTCTACCCCACACCTCCCCAGCTTACCAGCAAGGCTGTTCTGGGAGGCAGCATCACAACCTTGCTGAAGTCAAGGTACACAACACCCACTGCTCTCCCATTTACCAGCTGCCATGGCATCACAGAAGGCTACCAGATTGGCCAAGCACAATTCTCCCCTGGTGAATCCATGTTGACTAGTCCTGATAACCTTCTTCTCTTCCATCTCTTGGAGATGACATCCAGAACGAGGAGCTCCATCACTTTCCCAGGGACAGAGATGAGGCTGACCAGCCTGTTGTTTCCCAGCTCCTTCTTGCCCTTTTTGAGGACTGGAGCCACACCAGCTTTCCTCCAGCCCTCAGGCACTTCTCCTTTTCTCCATGACCTTTCAAAAGCAGCTGGACCATCACTTCTGCATCACATTGTGGCCCACAGGTTTGTGTGCACTGAGGTTGCCTAGACAACCTCTAACCAAGTAGATTCTCCTCAACCAAGGGGAAGTTTTCCTTTCCCCTGACTTTCTCCTTCTCTCTGCAAAGGCCAGCAGGATCACAAGACTCTGGGCAAGGCAGAAGAGTCAATCTCACTATCAGCACATTTCTTCAAAGATGGGAAGTAAAGAAGAGGTGGACAAGGAGGTGGGAAAAGGTCTCCCCAGGTTTGAAAAGGACAAAGAGGGAGGCAAGACTATGAATAAAGAGAAGAAACAGTCTGGAAGTTAAAGTGTTTATTGATGTGTTTAAACTTTGTACATTCCCCACAGACCACACTAAGGAGTTTGCAGGTAAATCTGTGCATAGTGGGAAGAGACATGGAAGGGAAAAGAAAGTAAAGTCACAGGAGAAATAGAAAAAATACACCACAGGTTACCAGAACCTCCAGATTTAAAAAAGCCGTGAGCATTAACACCAACTATACAAGCATTACAAAGACAAGATGGTGAGCAGAACAATACCCCTTTTGTTCTTCTCGGGGCCTTGCATCCAATTTCCCTTTAAGCAGGCAGAATCCCTTTCCCAACTTATCCCTCTCTCCTCTCCCCACGTTCATCAGCTCCCAAGGTGCCATCGCAGTGATTTGTCATTCTGGGAAAGACCCAAAGCCGTGCCTACAGCCCAACAGCACTGGAAGAGATGCAAAGGCTCAAAACACTGCACCTCTGTAACTACTTACCATGTTGGTGAGGCAGGAGAGCTGGGGAAAATTAGAAAGTAGTAGCAAAAGGGGCTGTTAATGCCAGGTGAGTACTGAAGGAAACTGGTTGAGAACAGAGGATTTAAATTCAATACCAGGAACTTCCAACTCTAAAGCAGAACTGAATCTGAAAGGGGAATGTGCAGACCCCAGTATGCACAAACCATGTTCTAACATTCCACTAGAGTAACTATAAACAGAGATGCTAGAAGCCTTTTAACTCCTTGCCTCCAGGGAGTCTTGATTCCTAGAGCCCACACTGCTAAGCAGCAGGGTGCACATTACTGGTGTATGAGGATGGGTTTTTTCTTTTTTTTTTTCCTTTTTTTTTTTCCTCATTCTAAGGATTTTTGTTCGTTGCCATTCCAAATTCCTTCCTTGTTTATGCTGTCATAGTTCCTATCCCTAAATTAATCTCTTTGCAACTCCCAGCAAAATTCACTTAAAGAAAAAAAAAAAGAAAAAAAAAAAGAAAAAATACTGCTTTATATATAAAAGCCAGAATGAAGAGCCACAGCTGTCTCCTTTTTACAAGGCGGGCTGGTACAAATGACCCTCAATATACAGGTGGTCTATCAGAAATAAAAATCAACATTTCCCATTTTATATATATAGAGCTTGTATCAGACAACAGTACAACAGAACTGGTATTTTTCAGATTATTAAAAAAAAAAGAAAACTACATCTCAGTCAAATATCTGCAATAGATCCATTTTTCCCATTTAAGGAGATTTATATATCATATTGTTATATTATCATTTCTTCACCCATTTAAAAGAATGGAAATTGCAACTCTACAGTAGTAATTATAGTCTTAATGATCCAGGAGTTCTGAATGTAAGATGAAGTCCTCTTGAAGCAACGGTTGGTCAGTAGTTGATCCAAAACGCTGGACCACTTTGGCCCTTCTGCCCTGCTCCTTTCCTGATCAGGGCTGCTGTATCTTCATCTCTTTTATATCTGCATCTGCTCCAGGTATTTGTAAGTGGGGTTCTCATAGCCATGGTTTTGCATCTTGCTCAGATGCCGCTCTTCTGGGGTAAGCATTGGGTCAACCTTTGGACAGACAGGATGATTTCTGGTCAAAGGAGGCACTCAAAAGGCCTTACTTCTCAGCAAGACAGTTAATACAGAATGTTGGATAAATACCACGGAAAGCAGGAAACAGAAAAAAAAACTACAAAAATGATTTGCTCAACAGAATTCCTCAGTCAGGTGTTAATGCTTTCTGCACTCCCTTGCTTCTTTGAGGCTGTTCTCCCCAGATTTCTAATAAGTTATCTAACATGACAAATTTGGGACCCGTTTCTCTCATTACAGTGGTCATTATCAGTTCCCTCATCAGCTGAGCAAAGGGGAAGAGCAGCTTTCTCCAGACTCCATTAAGCTGCCATTAGCAATGTGCATTTTGGGAGCTGAAGGATGATGAAAAAACTGCTTCTCACTGTTCTGCTGATCACACTCTTAATAGTTGCTATATTAGCTGGGAGGACAAATTACTACAGATTGACTGACTGACTCCCCTGCTAAAGATATCGCCTCAAAAGCTCTTTTACTGTTAAATCCTATCCTGAGCCAGACAGGGATGCCTAATTGAATTCCTTGTGATAAGTGAATACAACTGTGATGTGACAGGCCCCAGCATGGCACGCTGACAAGTGCTACCTGCATGCTAATATATAAGTGACAAAGATGGCAGCAAGGGCATAGTGAAACCCCATCTAGCCGAGAGCAGAGCAGCTGATGGTTTGGCACCTACTGCCATCTTCGCCCCCTACACACAGCATGTGATTCAGTGCTGACTATTTTCATCCTCAGTTATGGAGCAGGAGTGGTTTCTCACCTCCACAATTCCATGGCTGATGGTTCCATATTGCCTCTTCCTCAGCATCACCAAGCTGATGACTATCACAGTAGCTATGGCAACAGCAATCACCAACAGACCAATGAGGGCACTGCTGCTGAAACTGAAGTCATCACGAAGCGAGTTGTCATTATCCTGTAAGGAAGACAGCAATGGATCAGGCATAAAAGGAGTGATGTGAGAGCTGCAATGCTGACTGCAAATCTAGGAGGCCACCAGTAAGGTCTTCAACCAGCTGTGGTACCAAGACATGCTATGTGGCAGTGTAAATATTTAATCCCCTTCTGTCAAAAGGATAATGAACACAAAATTGTTTCCCTGTTTAGGCATTCTGGACAAGCACTGACCCACAGTGCTTGCATATCCCACAGAGCACTCTTGCAACAAAAGAGTCAAGTTAGCATCTAATGTTTTCACCGTTATCCTTATGCAGGAGTGCCATACTGCATTACACATTGCATGACTTCCCAGAGCACTGTCAACACACGGAACCCCTGGAATTTGGTAACATGCAGGAACCACAATGCAGCTCTAGGAGGTGAGCAGTCACTGCACTCAGCCCTGTACGTACCGGCTCATCCACCAGCCCACCAACGCGCTCCGCATTGAAAATCATCTCCTTCACATCGAGGGTTTCATCAATTACCTGAAAACAGCCACAAAAGCATTTTATGAAAGGAGCTGTAATAAACAGGTGGGAGAAGGAACGTGAAGCCAGACAGGAGAGTTCTGATGAATACTTGCAAGGGCTCAGAACCACCTACCATTCTACCCTGTTCTCCAAAGCGTGGGATCATCTCCAACTTTTAGAGCCGACCAAGAAAATAACTGCAACCATTTGGGAGTCTAGACTACTGAAGGCCTGAATTAAAACGTCTTGCACGCAGCACTTCTGTCATTTAAGATCTAACACATGGCTAGAGGACAATTTTAAAAGAAAGCTTCCAAAAATCAACAACTTCTTTTTCAAGCCAGGCAACTGCTGTAAGGCAGCTGTCATTACAACCAAGTGAATTTGTTATGCTGCAGATAGAGCTACGCCTACTGGATCACCTACCTTGATGAGGTGAGGCCTATCTTGCCATGAAAAGCGTGTGGGAAAGCAGGTGGAAGACAACAGTGTACTCAGACAGAAAGCTACCTAGCTAAAACAAAGGTATATCAAAGGGTCTCTTTCTGGGAAAGCAATTACTAAATCAGACACTTCACCAGCTCAGACTGCCAAAGATCCAGATCTCTCTCCTTCCCTCACCCTCCCACCCTTCTGATGCTAATCAGTATTAAGAGCCTACAATAGTCAGAAAACTGACTCCCCCACACCATATGGACAGTGAATACACTGGCATTCTGTTAGCAGGAAGGAGGAATGCAAACAAGCCACTGCTATTAATTAGTGCCCGCGGCAGGCTTTGCTTTATAAAATAAAGGTGGAGGGCTCACCACATTTTCATCCACTTTCTTCTTGCTGTTAATCACTTTTTCTTCAGCGCCAATCAGTCCATCCAACTCAGTCATGCCAGAACCTGTACCAAAAGAGCAAGGCAGGGACCATCAGTCAGCCCTTAGCACCAGGCAGGAGGGATTACCTACTCTCTGTAGAGCTGCCACAGCTACTGCATTTAACCGCACGGACCGCTGATTATTAAGCTGTCTTCATGCTGTTGTGTCAGAAGGGGAGCTCATAAGCTATGCTACAGTGACAAGTGATCAGGGAGGTTCTGTTAATGAAGGGAAATGAGGTGGCAATGAGAGAAGCAGACAGGACTCACCAAAACAGGCTGAAGTGTAAATTCAGACACACCGCACTGTTAAGTACTGCTGTTAGAAGGTCCAAGACAACATATAACACAAACTGTGAGCGTGCAGTTCCTTTCTGCAAGTGTCACCCAGGGTCACCACCACCCCAACGTGACCCGTGATGGCAGCACACATCTCCTCTCTGCTGGCAGCCAGACACAGGGAGTGCTTTCAATCGCACGGTCAGCATCATCCATTCTTTTGGAATCGAGTACATCAGCGAGCAGGGATGAGAATCTCAAGGTCACCCAGTACAGCTCTGTAATGAGCTGCTGCCCCAAATCCGACGTGAGCCCAGAAATGATAAATCCCAGGGCAAAGGAGGAGCAAAGTACTACACTAACCCTTGTACCAGAACATCACCCACCCACTTCTAGGCTAGAACTACTATGTGCTGAAAGAACATCAATTAACAGAAGGCTGCTCTGTATAAACTGTTTTGATCTCAAGCATTTATAAATAGATCCAATCAGCAACAAATTTGATGCAGGATACTCCGACCTACTGTCACATAACGAGTTAGGAGACTGCAAGTTTTCCACTGCCAGTATGCACAGTGTAACATCCTTCACAACACCCACAGCCCCCCTAAAGCACAGCAGGAGGCAGGGAAGCTACAGGAGGGTCCCTCCGAGGAGGAGCATGAAGTGGGGGAAATATTACTACAGCACTTAAGGATCTGCAGGTGATTGTGTGCACCTCTTCACAAGCTGCTGAGCTTGCAGGCTGCCTGAGACACGACGTCAGCCAGTGCTGGAATTGGCACATGTTCTTTGACAGGATGCAAAGGAAAGGACAGTTGGCTCTATGGCAAGTTTTTACCCTGACAAGCTTTTTACTGCACAAAAACGCCAAGGAAACCAATGTTTCACTCCAGCTCCTCCCAAAAGGAGCATCTAGACTTCTGCTGCACTCCCTTTTCCTTCACAGCTCTTGGGAGACTGTAATCAGATTCCAAGCACGGCCACAACTGCCAGTCTGACTTCCCACGGCCACTGGAGCAGCTCATGTTATTGTGAAAGTCAATGATTTGGATTCTCTGAACAGACTAGACACAAATAGTTTTTAAGAGAACTACTGTGCCAGCTTTTGGCCTATGGCTGCTTCACTCAGTTCTCAGGGGCAGCACAAAACAGTCTCCAGAGCTGGGAGTTCAGCTGCTGCACTGAGCTCTGCTATTTGTCACACGGTGCTGTACCCAGTAACAGACCCAGTTCTATAGAGCTCTAAGGTGCAGTTTAGGTTATATACTTCCTAGGAAAAGAAAGAAAAAACCAACCCACAATAACCACACACACGAAATAAGCACATCTCCCTGGCAGCTGTTGAGAAATTCAATGAAAAGAGGAAGAAGGGGGAAATGTAGGATGTAACCTTTGTCCCCGCATCATCAGAAACTTCCATTTATGTAAATGGAGAGAAGGACAGCCTATGCTTATCATCTTTAAGACAGCACATCAACCAAGAATCCAACTAAAGACTGTCATAATTCTTTCCAGTGTGGTCAGTTGTGCACTGCTGCATAATGATGAAGGTGACTTTTGTAAAGAAATACTGGTAATGCAAACAATTTCTAGCTGTCTGGTCTTTACCACATTACAAAGTTATCTGTGCTCACATTAGATGGCTATTAGCAAAATCCTTGGCTTGGAAATTCTGCACAACACATATGGAACCAAAGGCAGAATAAAGCAAGTGTTTCAGCCCCCACTGCTCTGCAACAGCATTCTGACAATCAGCCTTCCAATGATACTTTGGGAACTGGCTCAGTTAGCAGGTTGGCTGGGCAGGATCGTT